CCCTCTCTCCTTCTTCTCCTCTCCTCCTGTTACAAAAGTAATTTGATTTCCATTTTATTCCATATTTTCTTTCATCTCTTCCCTCCATTTTTCATGTTGCATCATTTAAATTCTTCATCTCCTGAGGTTCAGGGCGTTGGTCCCAGGAGGGGGTGTCCTTGGGGTAGGGCCAAATAAGGCAAATAAGACAGTGGTGCAGTCAAAGCTCCGTCCATTTTTCTTTCAAAACAAAGGGCACTTCCGTGACATCACCGAGGCTGCCATCTTGCCTTTTTTGACCACCCCTCCCTGATAGCTCAGGGTAGCTCCATGGACTTTGCTCAGTTAGCTGGCCCAGAACCCCTCGGCACCCCCCAAAGGTTTGTGTGTGTGTCTCTCTCTCTCTCTCTTCCTGCTTGCTTTCCAGTTCGCCAGTATGCAGACATCTGCCTGTTCAACACTGCCCAGTATAAGTGCCCGGTCGCCGTGGAGGAAACTGAGTGAGTACCTAGCCGGCGGGCACAGCCCCTGCCTTGTCCAGGCCCACCCGGGGGCTCCGGCTTCCAATTGGAGTGGCGTGGAAGTGGAAATAGAATAGAATAGGAATAGGAATAGAGAAGAGAGAAGAGAAGAGAAGAGGAAGAGGAAGAGACTAGAATATCAGAATAAAGAATAGAATAGAATAGAATATTGGAATGAATAGAGAATAGAAATTAGAATAGAATAGAATAGAATAGAATAGAATAGAATAGAATAGAATAGAATAGAATAGAATAGAATATTATTTATTGGCCAAGTGTAATTAGACACACAAAGAATTTGTGATTAGACACACAACGATAGGCACATATGCAAGGACATACAAGATCTATGGAGAAGTATTACTGCATACAGGTAGTCTTCAAAGTTGCAACCAAAATTAAGACAATTACGGTTGCAAATCGAGATGGTCATAAAACAGGCCTGATGTGATGATGTCGTGGGACGGAGCAAATAGTATGAGTGGTGTCCTTTGTGCCCTTTGTGTAATGGTGTCATTCTCACTGATCCTTCCTTTCCCCAACACGCATAGTGTGGTATAACTTATTAGAACTTGCTTTGCATTTTTCCCAGGCTTAAGCATCTCACATGCTGTTTTTGCAGTAATTTGCAAAAACCTTTCTTGTCCTTTTCTAATTGTTATGCTTTTTTTTCCCCCATAAGATTTTGTTCTGTGAGCACTTTCCTCTAATAAGGAACACTCTGCTTGCTCCTTTCTCTGATATATGCATATTTATGCCCACAAACACATTCTTTTTTAATTGGAAATGTGCGTTATAAAACTCCAGACAATAAAAACAGCTGCAGTTTGATTGGAGTATGTTTAGAAAGTGCAAATTGGAATCTGAACTGAGTCCATTTCTGCCCACCCTGTATAGGCTAATCCCGCTCCCTGACCAAAGATTGGTTCCAAACCACAAAAAATATTCCAGTTGTGAGGCAATTTACAGTTTTTGATAGGTGATAGATAGATGGATAGATGATGGATGGAGATAGATAGATAGATAGATAGATAGATAGATAGATAGATAGATAGATAGATAGATAGATAGATAGATAATAGATAGATAGAAGATGATAGATAGATAATAGATAGATAGTAGATGATAGATAGATAGATAGATAGATAGATAGATAGATAGATAGATAGATAGACAGACAAAAAGACAAATAAATAGGAGATAGTATAGGTAGATAAATGATAGATGATGATGATAGATAGATAGATAGATAGATAGATAGATAGATAGATAGACAGACAAATAGATAGATAGATCGTAGATAGATAGATAGATAGATAGACAGACAGACAGACAGACAGACAGACAGACAAAATAAATAAATAGGAGACAGTATAGGTAGATAAATGATAGATGATGATGATAGGTAGGTAGGTAGGTAGGTAGATAGATAGATAGATAGATAGATAGATAGATAGATAGATAGATAGATAGATAGATAGACAGACAGACAGACAGACAGACAGACAGACAGACAGACAGACACAGACCGAAGAGGTATAGAGATAAATAAGTAGGTGATGGAGAGAAAGCGAGAGAGGATGATCATAGAATCCTAGGGCTGGAAAGGACCCTGGAGGTCTTCCCCTCCAGCCCCCTTCCCAAGGCAGGAGACTTTATACAATCCGCAACCATTTTATTGCTAATTCCCGCTGAGAAATGAAAGCCGCGAAGGGCAGCACTAAGCTTTTGTATTATTCCGCCACGCCCTGATGGTGCGTCCTGTCCCCTGGTCCCTTCTGCCCCTTCCCTGCAGCGATGTGGTGGCCCCCAGCTCCACCTTCTGCAAAGTCTACACCCTGACGCCTTTCCTGGCCAACAACCGGGAAAAACGTGGACTGGCTTTGGACGGAAAGCTGAAACACGAAGACACCAATTTGGCTTCCAGTACCCTGTGAGTGTCCCTTTCCTCAGGGGGGCTGTTGGGAGGGTGGATTCAGGTGGAGCACAGATGCACCCTGGGGCCCCCAAAATGCCCCCCCAAAAAATGGTCCCCCAAAAGTGGCTTTTATCTGGTTTACAGGATCCCCTAGCCCAGGGGTCTCCAACCTCGGCCATTTTAAGACTGGTGGACTTCCCAACTCCCAGAATTCCTGAGCTAACATGACAGGAGGAGGAATTCTGGGAGTTGAAGTCCACAAGTCTTAAAATGGCCGAGGTTGGAGACCCCTTGCCCCAGCCAACACATATGGACTTCAACTCCCAGAATCCCCCAGTCAACATGTGTGAACTAACCGCCGTAATCTTTCTTTCCACCCCCAGGTTGAGAGAAGGCGCCAACAAGGAAGTTCTGGGCATTATCGTCTCCTACAAAGTGAAAGCCAAGCTGGTGGTCTCGCGAGGAGGGTGAGTCCAGTCTTACGGCCGCAATGGAGCCTGAAATTTCTGTGGTATTTCCTAACTCTTAACCCTAACCCTGTGACCCACCTATTGCTTGCTGTGTATAGGTACACCGGGAGCTTCTGCACCAGAGACAAATCTCTTCTGTGTCCGATCACACCTGGCCAATCAAGAAATCTAGTTCTGTTCTGTTCTATAATTCTACTCTATAATTCTATTTATTCCATATTTCTATTCTATTCTGTTCTATTCCCTAGTCTAGTTCTAATTATAATTCTGTTCTGTTCTATTCTATTCCCTATTCTATTCCCTAGTCTAGTTTCAATTATAATTCTATTCTATTCTATTCCCTAGTCTAGTTCTAATTATAATTCTGTTCTGTTCTATCCCCTATTCTGTTCCCTATTCTAGTTCTAATTATAATTCTATTTTAATTCTATTCTACTCTACTCTAGTCTATTTTATTCTATGGCCTATTCTATTCCCTAATCTAGTTCTAATTATAATTTCATTCTATTCTATTCTATTCTATTCTATTCTATTCTATTCTATTCTATTCTATTCCCTATTCTATTTCTAATCATAATTCTATTCTAATTCTATTCTACTCTACTCTATACTCTATTCTATTTTATTCTATTCCCTATTCTAGTCCTAATTATAATTCTATTCTATTCTAGTATGATTTGATTGCTTATTGCACCCTATGACTATTATTAAGTGTTGTACCTTCTGATTCTTGACTCTTGACGAATGTACCTTTTCTTTTATGTGCACTGAGAGCATTTGCACCAAGACAAATTCCTTGTGTGTCCAATCACACTTGGCCAATGAAGAATTCTATTCTATTCTATTCTATTCTATTCTATTCTAATTCTCTGTTCTTTTCTAATTATAATTCTCCTATTCTGTTCTAATTCTGATGATTATGATTATAATTAATGATAATTATAATTCTCCTATTCTACGGTATTCTGTTCTGTTCTGTTCTGTTGAGTTCTAATTCTCTTCTCTCCTCTCCTTCCAACGCCAGCTTACTGGGAGATCTTGCCTCCAGGTAACGCCTTTCATATCTACCTGTGCTGATCAAATGCAGTGCAACCTCCCCACCACCAGGGGCATCCGTGGGGAAAGTCAAAACAGTCAAGGTTTTTTTTGCACAGAAAGGATGCGGCTGCGGCTGCAGTCGCTAAGCAGAGAAGCCATCTTGACTTTTCTGACCTCCTCTGCAGAAACCCCTTTGCCTTTGCATGCAGAGACCTGATCGCATACCTCACCTAGAAGGGACGGGGTACTAATACTGTTACTGCATTGCTACAGCACTGATGATGTTCCCTAGTTTGGTTATCAAACATCTATAAGAAAACCACCAACCTCAGAGAGCACCCAGGACCCCACATAAATAATCAGAATAAATTCTAATTATTGACACACATTGTTTTAATAGCACCCTCACAAGCGAAACCTTCATGTGAAGGAGGCTATGTATTAGAAATGAGGACTAGAAACTTGAGTTGATACAGCTGTAGCAGAGGTAAGGCACGATCTTAAAAGCAAGGTAACCTTTAAGATAGGTTTAGGGGAGCAGGAAAGATGCTTTTGGGAGGGGTAATAAATTAATCCCCTCACAAGCGAAACCTTCATGTGAAGGAGGCTATGTGTTAGAAATAAGGACTAGAAACTTGAGTTGATATAGCTATGGCAGAAGTAAGGCTTTGCTGGCTGGGGAATTCTGGGAGTTGAAGTCCGCCAGGCTTAAAGTGGCCAAGGTTGGAGATTCCTGATCCCTAGAGTCTCCCAATTTCATTAAAAAATAAATAAATTTCAAAACAAAATGGCTTCCGCAACTTCCCTCTCTGATTCCCCCACGGAGAAAGAATCTCGGGATCTCACACCGTTCACAGCAAGAAAAGCCAAGTTTTCCTCCCTTAAAAGATGAGTTTCTTTGAATGCCTTGCCGGAAACTGGGGCCAACTTGGATTCCCCACAAACCCAGTTTGGGAAATCTTGAGGAGGCAAGATCCTTGAGCAGCAGCTCCAGGCAGTGGCGGGATTCTCTTGGTTTCTATCGGTGATTGTGCACTTCATGCGCACGCACATCGAGCTTTCCAAACACCAGCTGAGGCTCTGCCACGCCAATCCACTGAGCGTCAGGGCTCCGGCCTTCTCCCCCATTCAAATCATGAGTCTCTAGCCATATCGTTCAGAGTTTAAAGAAGATTTGTTAGGAGTGAACATGCCGGTGCTGCCTGGGTGCAGCCGACTCTGAGACACATCATTCATTTCCCCCTTGACCCTGGTCTCCCCTTACCCCTTGGGTGTATATTCTCCAATGGGACCCTGTTCTGACCCAAACCCTTTTCCAATAAAACAAATAATAATCAAAGAAAACAGAAACCTTTTGATGAGTCTTACGAATCCCCAGTTAAAGGGCTGCTGCAAACTAATTAACTTTGATAAGCACAAATCTCGCCAAAACTGTGCGAGACTGCCAAGAATCGCAGATAAGAAATAGTTGACAACACGAGTCTTCAAATACCAACTTAGGATACCGTAATGTCCACGAGGCTGAGTTTCAAAACGTCTTTGCTTCCTGCAAAGAATGTCCGCTTCACATCTGGCTTTCATCTTCTTGAAGGAGGGGCCATCTCCTTGCAGCCTTACTCCCGAGTCGTCTGTGCTGTTGCAGCTGCTCTTTCCTGCGAGCAATCCTGCGCGCACGCGCACTTGGCACAGGCTCCTCGGGAACCTCCTCATCGCTGCTGCCAGCCCCCACAATCTCCAAAGGCAGCAGTCTACTCCTTAATGGTCTTGGCCCCTCATCTGGGTCCTCGCTCTCCTCACCTGCTGCCGGCTAACCACAACAGACATATCCCTCGCCAAGAGTCCGGTAATACTCTTGCATGCCAGAAGGTTCGGTTGCCTAGCAAATTATCTATGAAAACATTTAAGGAATGTACTACTTTCCACATTCCTTTCTGCTGGCAACTCTAATAAGACCAGAGAAATATTTTTGAGTTGACACTGAGAGAATAAAGAACAGAAAAGCGCAGGGGCAGGTAGGACGGCCAATTTTTGCTACCGGTTCAGTTGAACCAGGCCGAACCGGTAGCATTTCACCCCTGGCTCCAAGTCTTGAGAAGAGGACATCCCCAGAGGAAGGAGGCTGGTGCCGGCCGTATCCAAAATGGCTGCCTCACTTTTCGTCTTTCTTTCCAGCGATGTGGCTGTGGAGCTGCCGTTCACCCTGATGCATCCCAAGCCCAAGGAAGAGTTGTTGTACCGAGAAGGTGAGTTTATCCGCGCGTGTTCTGACCCGAACTTGGTTCCAAGGAAGCAAACATGAGACAAAGGCAACAGCACAACCTTTGAATGATTCTTTACGAATCCCGTTCCTTCACGGGTAAACGGCTGCTTCAAACCAATCAGCTCCGAGAAGAAAGAGCCTTGCCAAGTTTTTGCAAGGCTGCCAAAAACACCAGATAAAGTTACTAAGCAATAATTCCAACACAAAGAGTCTCCAAACACCAACTCAGATATTCCTAATGTCCACCAGGCTCGAGTATCAAACTTCTTTGCTTCCTGCAAAGAACTGCAGTTTCTCAGCTGGCTTTTATCTCCTCAAGGAGGGGCCATTACCTGGCAGCCTTACTCCTGAGTCGCCCATGCTGCTGCAACTGCTCTTTCCTTCGAGCAGCCCTGCGCGCAACTGCATTGGGTACAGGCTCCTCGGGGGCCTCTTCCTCATTGCTTCCAGCCTCCACCATCTCCAAAGGCCGCACTACTCCCTGATGGTCCTTACTCCATCCCTGCCTCACACGCAGGCCCCTCACCTGAGTCCTCGCTCTCCGAGACCTCAGCCATCCGCACCTGTTGCCAGCGAACCACAACAATGTGGGGTTGACTTAGGCAGGAGGCAAGTGAGCATCCTCCCGAAAGGACCTTCATGAGGACTGCTGTCTTGAGAGGGCTGGCTGGTTGAAGAATCAAGTCAGCTGGGGGTGGGGGGGGATTATGTCCTCTGTCCAAGGAAACCGGATAAATGGGTTTTGTTTCTTGTTTTCAGTGCCCGAAAATGAAGCTCCCATCGACACAAATCTCATAGAACTCGACACGAAGTAAGTCCAATTACGTTGTGTGTATTTGTGTGTGTGTGTGTGTGTTCGGAAGAGCACCGCAATGAGAAACCTGACTCCTTTGCATTTAGCCCAGCTACTCTGCCTCCTACAGGTAATCCTCGACTCACAATTCATGTAGTGACTGAAGCTA